CCCCTATAGGGGGGCCTTTATTGATATTTTACGTTCGCTTCTCATTCGGCACATGATGTCACCCCCGTCGGCTATCAGTATTCAAATAGCAAAGAGGTTGTCTATGTAATACATATGATTTTTTAGCGTCTGCACAAGTCGACATTTCCATACCTCGTGGCATGAAGTCATTCACATACCCCTTGGCTTACAGTACAGCAGACACCAGGTGACCTGTGTGCACGTGATGACTTTACACCTTCCATGCACGTGCAGTAATACCACTTTGCGTTTCAGCTGCCACCGACCTAATCATTTAATACACCTGTTTCACCTGTTGTAAAGGACGTTAATATAGCCAGTGAACAGGGGTAACTGACTTTATTAATGTCCTTTACAACAGGTGAAACAGGTGTGTTAAATGAGGTTGTCTCCCATTAGTTACACGTGCTTACACAGTTTGAAATTGCCAATTGTTACACAGTCAGATTAGAACAATACCCACGGCCTTAATAGACTCTTCCATACTGATGAGCTGAAGGAATACCACCCAAGCCAACTCCCTTCATACAATTCACATGTTATTCCACTCAATGCGAGATTATCTCTTTCATCAGCTTTAGATACAAAGTACATACGACACAAAACTCTTTACATGTTTGCATGAACATCAAGTCTTCCACGCTCAAAGGGGTATTCCGTGAAGTAGAATTTTGTTATTACAGTATCATCTCTTTGATGTTGTGCCGGTTCTGTTATGAGGGATTAAGTCACTGGGTGCTGTAGAATTCTGAACTATGTGGTGAAATATGATTTGAATTTACTGAGTTTAGCTCACTCAGATTATAATGATACTCATTAATGTGTTCACTCAATCAATGTGAGTGAAACTGATTAATTTGTTCACTCAATCAGTACCATACAGAACACTTACATATGTTACATATTGTATAAATACCATCAAGGTACAAGAGGTAGTATCATTTTCACAATGGCTCAGTTACAAGAATTCGATTGTTTTCCGATGCCGCTTGGAAAGGATGTTGAAAACGAAAATGCAGTGTGGACGAAAAGAACCCTAACACCCATGGAAGGGTAAAACTGATAAAATAGATTTGAATGTACTTTATTTAGCAGATCCCATTTATATTATAGAGAAGATTACTCCTCGCACTCATAATAGGCTTTGGAAGGAGGTACTCTCCTCATGCCCAGCATACTTGTACTGCTGTGTTGCGGTGAAAACAGAAGTGATGAAGAGATAATGTCAGAATCTGTTTGGTACAATAATGCTATTAGAATTGGGAGTGAAACTGTTTATATACAGCAATCAGTATCATCTTTTTATACAACACCAACTCTTGTATTGGACCCAATTTTAGGCCCATTCAGCCTTATAACATGTCAACAATAAACAATCAACAAGGCTGTTCAGCATTTTATAAGAATTTATTAGCCCCATCTGGTACTTTTTTTTCTTATGTTGTCTCATTCTCGGATTCAATATGGTTTGTCCATATTGCTGTAAATAGTTTGATAAATCTTAGTCCAGTGCCTATAGTGCTTTGTCTTATTTGTCATACGGACCGCCTCCATGGTGTAGTGGTAAGAGCGTCCGCCCGGAGTGCGGAAGGTCGCGGGTTCGATCCCCGACCGCGTTACCAAAAGCATTAAAATATGGTACTTTTTGGTCCCTGCCTGGCGCTCGGCATTAATGGGTACAACAAGGACTGGTCGGCTCGGAGTCAGTATAATGTGTCTGAGTGGGGTATTCATGCTTCACTGCGGCATGGTATCTCAGTGGGCTAGCACTATAAAACCAGCTTAACTCTGGGCTAGTACAAGCAGCCGCACATACACATACACACGCATGCACGTCGTCATATGAGCGAAATATTCTCAAACACGACGTTAAACCCAATTTCACCTCACCTCACCTTATTTGTTATACACAAGTATGGGTCATTCCATTGTAAACTCTCAAGGTAACAGGGAGGGGATTAGATGTGCAGTCATCTGTAAAGTTGTTTGTATAAGGGTGTATAACTAATGGCACGTGTAACTAATGTGAGGGAGGATACCGTTCACGTCAATGCTGTGTTGTTTGTTTGTTGTTTTACGCCGCAATGCTGGTGCAACAACACGACGGCCTGTCAATAATTCAGTCTGTGACAGTGACTTCTGTTGTCCCACGCAATGAACCACATCACCAAGTACCTTGACTCCGGGATTCGGGTATACTTGACCCCGGCGTCAGGTAATAGTGTACCAGTGACCTACTCTGACCTGGAGCCCTACGAGTAGCCTACCCAAGAGGTCTGTGTGTGTAATGACTTCACAACAATGGCTTCAACGTTACAGGCAGAACCTACAGATATATTCAACCCATTGTCAGACTGACAGACAGGCATTGTTCTAAGGTTACTGAGGTAAACATAATGTACTCTTGAAAATAAAACATTCATTACTCTGACGGCGATCAGTTATACTCGACCCAGTCCAATGGCTGATATCATCAGCATCGATCTTAGCAGCTGGGACATGACGTCATGCATGCATGCAATCAATAATAATTATAATAATGTGTCCATTTATATAGCGCCAAACTCCACACTAGGTATGCTCATAGCGCTAACAATCAAGGCACAGCACATTATTACCCCGGATAACCCAAGCTGCCTGTTAGGCGCTAGAAGGTTATAGTCATATGACTTTTTCCACCGGGTACCCATTTTCCTGCTGGGTGAACAGAGACAATTTTGAACAAACTCACTTGCCTAAATGTGAGACCACGTGTGTCACATGTGCTTTGTTGTGGGGCAGGACTGAAGTCCTAGAAACTCTCAGGAGTCAAGGTGCCAAACACGGTCACCCATCCAAGGACTCCCCGAGCTCGACGCTGCTTAACTTCACCGATTTGTGACCTGAGCCTTGAGCACAGGACCACGCGCCGCCACGTGTCACTGAGCCAGATCCATTAATCCCTCTTCCGACAAGCATGGGCTGCCAGTTCCTGGTATTTGTCACCACCCTCTTGACATCATGCAGACAGAGGGCTTCACTCCGCTTAGAACAAAATGTACCAGTTACTTCATGTCTACTTTGTGTGGGAGGTAAATCCCAGAAAGTGTCACAGGGCGGAGGCATTTATCATACTGATGCACTCCACGAGGAGATGATACATCAAACAGCATAACCACAGTTCGGAGGTAGCTTAGTGGTTAAAGCGTTCGCTCGTCACGCCGAAGACCCGGGTTCAATTCTCAACATGGGTACAATGTGTGAAGCCCATTTCTGGTGTTCCCCACAGTGATATATTGCTGGAATACATGTATTGCTAAATGCTGCAGAAAACTTAACTCACTCCACTCACAATCACAGTTGCTGGCATCCGCGTCCATTATATACTGTAAAACATACGGACGCGGCGTTCCTGAGGTGAGGTGAGGTGAAATTGGGTTTAACGTCGTGCTTGAGAATATTTCGCTCATATGACGACGTGCATGCATGTGTATGTGTATGTGCGGCTGCTTGTACTTAGCCCAGACTGAAGCTGGTTTTATAGTGTTAGCCCACTGAGATACCATGCCGCAGTGAAGCATGAATACCCCCACTAAGACACATTATACTGACTCCGAGCCGACCAGTCCTTGTTGTACCCATTAATGCCGAGCGCCAGGCAGACAAACAAGTACCATATTTTAACGTCTTTGGTATGACGCGGTCGGGGATCGAACCCGCGACCTTCCGCTCTCGGGCGGACGCTCTAACCACTACACCACGGAGGCGGTCTTAATGGTAGAGTCACAGCCCACTACTATCGGGAAAAGATCATTGAACCATGCGTAGTAAAACGTCCACAACATTCGGGCAACATTTCATCTTTCAAACATTCTGACCCAATTCCTGCAACAGCAAAGTCCCGGACAATCCGCCGGTTATATCCTTTGAAAGAAGCACATTTCACAACGTACCTACTCCTGCCTCACGAAATTTCTCATTTCGACAGAAATGATATACTCATGCTAATAATGGTTGTCACCCCTCCCACCCCCCACACCACCCACACACACCTCCACCCTGCCCCACACCCTCCAATTAAAAAATGAAGGGGTGACAACCATTACTGGTATGAGTATATTACACGGAAAGAAAAACATCCGTGTTTCTTTTTGTAGTGAGGAGTATGGGTTTACGTCGCTTTTAGCAATGTTCCAACAATATCACCAGAAATGGGCTTCATACATTGTAAACCATGTGGGGAGTCGAACCCAGGGCCTCGGCGTGACTACTAGGCTACTCTCACCGTCCCGTTTCCTGGTAAGAAATCACAATGCTTAAGCTAACTACAAATGGAATGACTTGTTCACGAGGTTTTGCGTGACTACGTTGTACATCGCTGTTAATTATATCTGTTACTAATTCCTGCCTGGTCTAGACACAATTTGAAATATGCTACGAAACATCTGGAGCATTAGTGATATGCGTAAACAACGCGTTTACTCGCTCACTCATCAGCGTTCAGTGATAGTGTTCGAGGGTTAGGCAAAGACTAAGACTGATTGTGCATGGAGGTAGACTAACGCTTAGTCTCTGAATATATATAATTTTGATAGTAACAAACACACCTATTTAAATTGAAAAGGAGCCCTAGAGATTCAGAACCTGAGGAAATCTAGACTTGTTTCATTTAGAGCTTTAGCCCCTGCAGGGAGGGACTAGGCTGTAGGAAAATACTGTGGTTCAGGAACTCTGAAACTGACTACATGGGAGGTGGCCATCAACTATACAGGCACAGCCATGTCTGCTGATAAAGAGCATAGATATATATACAGTTAATCATATAAATATGGTCAACATTAAGTTTAAACAATAAACTGGAGCAAACGTTAAGAGAACAGGTCGAGGTCTTCGCTTATTTTACAAAACAGTGTAGCTTTTTGTGATTGGTATCTAAACGTAGTCACTTAAGCTCGACAAAAGGCAAGAATCTCCATGGATGTTAACTTCTTTAGTTTGATGGACACGACGTTTCGCGGATATATACTGAGGTGAATGATATTCACCTGATGAAGGAATAAGAATATACCTCGAAATCGTGTCCATCAAAATAAAGAAGTTACCAATAACAGCCATAGATTCTGCCTTTTTGTATATCACTTCTAAGTTGAAGTTCCAGATTCAAAGCACAGTGATGAATTAACATACAGTCATGTAAACATTATTTAGGCCATTTTGTGACTCAGTGTATAGGAGCCTCTTCGATCAGTTTGTTATATATTACATCTGTATTATTATGATTGTGTTTAAACCAGTAGACAAAGTCACATTTCGTTGCCCTCAGATCGTCGCCTGCAGATACACCAAAAATCACAAAGGCATCGTAAATGGGGTAAGTATATACACAGTGAGAACATCACATTTTGCTAATCATCCTTGAAGTTCCTGAGCTGATGACAGGTCCTGTCAAACAAAGGCTGCAGCTGGTATTCTGAGGTCATATAATATGAATACGTTCCTACAAACAAAAATGTTTGTGACCACTCGTGTCTTTCCGTGACTGCTGCCGGAAAGGTCCGAGTGGATAAATTCGACGAAAGACTAAATAGTCTGGTAGGATGGGTACAGCATTCAAGTCCCGTGGAAGTTTTGTGGGATGAAAGCAAGACATTGTGTTTTTTGTATTCAACGTGACATGCTAGTTAAATAAAAGCTTGGTTCCAGGTTGAAATATGAAAGTAAAATAGTACTTTTTGAGCACTTTACAAAGTGGTTGTGAAAGTGCTGCTAAAAGGTCAGAAGGTCATAATGAGAGTTGAATATTTAAAGTTTGATGTTATTAACTTTTATCCAAGTGTGTTTCTACTTCATGAAATATTTCCATTAAAAGAAAAACTTCAAAATATATTTTTAAATTAAAAAATATATATAATGAACACTCTCTCTAAAAAATGGCAGCTAGCAGACGAATTCTAAGCAGATGCAGGTTTTTGTGCATTTTGTACGTACATGATCATCAACCCAGTGTAAATCAAGTTATTAAAGAACAAGCAGCGTATGAAAACAAAAAAAAGAGGGATGTTTATTTTGTTTGGTGAGACTGTCAGTAAGGGAGCAGTCCTTATTTCAAAATGTAGTTGGTCAATACCAGATTATGATTTATCAATTTCTTATAATTACGCTTCTGGAAGTTTTCTTTCTAGGAAGCAGAGTTCTTTGCAAATAGATAAGAATATAATGAAAATGATGGGAGAAACACTATTTTCTGTTTCACACTCTCTCAGTTAAATCTGAAAGGTAGACTGGAGCCGTAAGTTAGTCATGCTCTGGTATAGCGAGACAGAATAGTTTGCAGGACAATCTGTGTTTCACGGGCAGCTAATGAATGTCCTTTACAGTTGGTGGGATGTGCTTTTTTTCTGGTGATCTGGGAGGTAATGCGAGCAGCTAAATCTCCTGTATGCATTGAGCTGATCAATAGTGACACAAGATGGAGATCCGGCCAAAAAGCTGTTACAGTAGTCCATACTTGATGTGACCAGGCTGAGGCAGAGAGTTTTTGAGGAACTTTGGTAAGAACGACCCTAGCCTTTTGATATTGTGGAAATCGAGAAAGCAAGTTTTAGTAACATACTTGACATGTTCTGTCAAACTTAGATCTTGATCGATGACAACATCCAGATCGCTGGATAGTGGAAGAAAGAGGCCTGCTTGCTCCACAGACACCACACTAGTAAATGTCACACTGCTTGTGTTTTCCAGCCTGTCCCAGAATAATGGACTCTGTTTTCTCTTAATTTAATTTCTCACAGCCACATTTGGGATGACATCTTTCAAGCAGTCTGATGTCTGATAGAGAGAAATAACTTCCTACAGCTGCGTGTCATCTGGTGCAGTAGAAGTGGTCAAGATTAAGATTCTGCCAAGCAGAACAGTGTAGAGGGTGAAGAGGATCGGACCAGGCACGATCCTCGAGGACCCGCACTCAAGCCTAGATGCGGTTGACACAGACTCACCAACAATAACGGTTTGAGTCCTGTCCTGTAGATAAGATGTCAGCTAGGGATAAAGCTGAATCCAAGTTCTGTATCAAGTCTTGAGAGAGTCTCTGGTGATCACCGTGTCAAAGGCACTGCTTAGGTCAAGTAATGTGAGCAGGGCCACTTGTCCTAAAAGTCCATACCACATCGTAGGTCATTCAGGATCTTCATCAGAGCCGTCTCTATGCTGTGGTGTGCTCTGCAGGTTGATATAAACACCTCTGTAGAGGTTATGCCAGGAAAGGTGGCCCATGAGACGACTGGAGACTGCACTTTCAATGAGTTTGGATATAAATGCTAAGCTCTGAAACAGGCCTGTAGTTTTTGGGATCCTCCTAATCAAGGCTTTCTGATTTCTTCAGATGTGGGCCTAACTAGAGCTGACTTAAGTACACTCTGGGTACATAACCAAGAGGAAGTAGAAGAGTTAATAATCAGCACTAATGTTGGTAAATATCAGTGAAACCATCAATATGAGTAAGGGGCGTGCCATCAAACATTTTGGAGGAATATCAGCTTCACCCAAAGCCGCAGAAGACGAAATCTTGTCATAACATGTTCTTGATCTTTTTGTATAAATAATCCGAAAATTACTTCATTGTCATCAGATGTCGGAAGTAGCCTGATTCAATGTGTTTACTCAAGATAATGAAGAAAAGTTTGAACAGCAACTTTGGACTTGACTCTCGTTAGCTTCAATCTTAGAATTGAGATGTTAATTTGTCTGGATGACCGTTGTTGAGCGGTTTTTGACTGAAATATACATTTGGCGATGAATCTCCAGGAAAGATTGTTTTCCATCTGCGTTCTGCTTTCGTCTTGTCTTTTTTTGCTTGTCGAACTTCAGCTGTGAAGTCCCAAGCAGATATTTTAGTGACTGAGTATGACTCCACTGGTGCATGTTTGTCTATATAGCAGCCTCAGATAGAACTCTATTGTATAGCAGAACGAGACACTCAGCATCAGATGGTGGCTCAAGTATAAGAGTCTGAGCTTAGCAATTGTCTTTAAAAGTATCCAGGGAGCGCATGTTCTCACAACGAGTAATCTTCACATTTGGACTGGGCATTGAGAGGTCCAAGCTCACAAAGACATGGAAATGGTCAGAGAGCTGTATATCCTATACAGATTACACAACTGACACACGCGTCTGAAGCACGGGTAACTATCCAGTCCAGAGTGTCCACCTCTGTGGCTTCTGGCCTCTGACGCAAGTTGTACACAGTTGTGGACTTCAAGAAGAAGATTAAAGCATTTGTTTAGTGTCATGGTTATCCTTTGTCAAAATGGAAATTGAAGTCGCCTACAATGATAAGAGCTACTTCGTCAACTTATCCAGTCTATGCCGAGACGTAGTGCTGAGCAGTAATTGCTGCCAATGGTGGCCAAACAAAGAATTGACTTTGACGCCATCTTGTGGACTCGGCAAACAGAAACACAACAGTAAAGGAAACTTTGTCTATAGACATTTGAATTTTCACCTTTTACCATTGGGGATTATATGAAATAATTTGCTCTAAACTAATGCAAGAAATTCTTCTAAAAAATGGCTTGTGCGTTTCTTTTTTGAAGAGTATATTCTCGGTCGCAGTTTCATGTAAAGACCTCTTCTATAGTTGATAAACAGGGTAAAAAGTATATTCCTTTCTCATATTGTACTAGTTCTATACAAAATATATGCCTTGTGGAGAAATGGGGTTTTTATTCATCATTATAACTGTTAGAGCTAAAAGTAACTCGTATTATGTAAATTTATGACTACTATCAGACTAAAAACATCTGGTGACTTACAGCATAAGAGAAATATATTCCGTAACCAAATATGCATGGTATTTGATATTAAAACCATTGATTTGTTCCGAGTTTTTGGAACTTTTTCAGTTCCCGGTTAAATTTTGGCGGCCGTCTTGGATTTTGAGCTAAAATTAGCTTTCGCATCAATATTCCAATTGGAACCAAACTTTTTTTTAAACTCCTTTAACATATAAACACAAAAAAATATATGATTTGCTTTCATCAAAAAACGTTCACGGAATCACATAAGCTCATTGACTAAAAATGTTCGAATGTGGGATGACGCTTTATGACGTCATCATGTCGCCTGGTAGAGAATGCACAACACAAGGGCGGTGACCAGCATGTAGACGTTGCTCCCTAACACAACACCCAGCATTGATAACTTGGCTGCCTTTGCAGAAGCATCTCTGGCCGCGGACATGTTGTTCATATCAATGGCTACCCTCACCTGGAACAATGGGAGAGAAACACGAATTATGATACACAGTCCCTGGAGTGAGTGAGTGAGTGTGAGTGAGTTAGTGATTGAGTGAGTGAGTGAGTGAGTTGGGCAGATGTCCAGTATTCCATTACGTCATCTTGATGTGGGGGAAAAGCCCCAAATGAAGTACGTCTTACGGGTGAACAAACACCCGTATGCTGCTGATTAACATAGAAACGTTATCAAAGCGAACCATTATTCAAACCCTTGATAAAAAAACATCCTGGCAAAACACTCCACAGTGTTGACCTGCAACAAGTATAATTATGACATACATCATGCATACTTGTTGACGTATAGCATGTATACTTGCTGACGTACATCCCGCACACTTTGTTGACGCACATCCTGCATACACTTGTTGACGCATAGCATGTGCATAATTTGTTGACGTATAGCATGTATAATTTTGCTGACGCATAGCATACCGTATACGCATTGCATGACGTATAGCATGTATACACTTGTTGACGCATAGCATGTATACTTGTTGACGCATAGCATGTATACTTGCTGACGTATAGCATGCATACTTGTTGACGCATAGCATGTATACTTGTTGACGCATAGCATGTATACCTGCTGACGCATAGCATACATACAATGATGCTGACATATAGCATGTATACTTGTTGACGCATAGCATGTATACTTGTAGACGCATAGCATGTATACTCAGTAGACGCATAGCATGCATATAATTGCTAGACGCATAGCATGTATACCTTGCTGACGTATAGCATGTGTACTTGCAGACGTATAGCATGTATACTTGTAGACGTATAGCATGTATACTTGTTGACAAAGCATGTATGCTTTTTGACGTATAGCATGTATACTTGTTGACATAAAGCATGTATACTTGTTGACGTATAGCATGTATACTTGTTGACTTATAGCATGTATACTTTGTTGACGCATAGCATGCATACTTGTTGACGTATAGCATGTGTACTTGTGCATACATAGCATGTATACTTGCTGACGCATAGCATGTATACTTGTTGACGTATAGCATGTATACTTGTTGACGCATAGCATGTATACTTAGTTGACGTATAGCATGTATACTTGTAGACGCATAGCATGTATACTTGTTGACATAAAGCATGTATACTTTGTTGACGTATAGCATGTATACTTTGTAGACGTATAGCATGTATACTTTGTTGACATAAAGCATGTGATACTTGTTGACGCATAGCATGTATACTTGTTGACGTATAGCATGTATACTTGTTGACGTATAGCATGTGTACTTGTAGACGTATAGCATGTATACTTGTTGACGTATAGCATGTATACTTGTTGACGTATAGCATGTATACTTGTTGACTTATAGCATGTATACTTGCTGACGTATAGCATGTGTACTTGTAGACGCATAGCATGTATACTTGTTGACGCATAGCATGTATAATTTGTTGACGTGATAGCATGTATACTTGTTGACGTATATCATGTATACTTGTTGACGTATAGCATGTATACTAGTTGACGTATAGCATGTATACTTGTTGACATAAAGCATGTATACTTGATGACGTATAGCATGTATACTTGTAGGCGTATAGCATGTATACTTGTTGACGTATAGCATCTATACTTGTTGACGTATAACATGTATACTTGTAGACGTATAGCATGTATACTTGTTGACGTATAGCATGTATACTTGTTGACGTATAGCATGTATACTTGTAGACGTATAGCATGTATACTTGTTGACGTATAGCATGTATACTTGTTGACATACCGCATTTATACTTGTTGACGTATAGCATGTATACTTGTAGACGTATAGCATGTATACTTGTTGACGTATAGCATGTATACTTGTAGACGTATAGCATGTATACTTGTTGACGTATAGCATGTATACTTGTTGACGTATAGCATGTATATACTTGTTGACATATAGCATTTATACTTGTCGACGTAAAGCATGCATATATGTTGACGTAAAGCATACATGCCGGTTGATTTATGCACAGACATACGTCTTGACGTAAAACAGACATGCTTGTGTGCGTATGCATGCGGGTGCGCGCACGCATGTGTGCGTGCGTCTCTTGTATCACAGACTTCGTGCATGACAGCTGAAAATGGGGGAAAAAATAAATATGTTTGAGCACGTGTTTTTTTGTAAAGTGTTCTGTATATTTACAGGTTAGTGAGTGTAATGTCGTTTAACGCCACTAACAGCTCGGTTCAGACTAATCATAGCATGTAAATAGTCGCGTTATGATCGGCATATTTACTAACATAATAAGACGCAGGCTTGTGTTAACTGCACACATATGCATATTTCCTTCTGTTTTCAATACATAAAGCTTTGCTCGGGGCAAACATGATGGGCTGACGTCAGGATATGATTTAATCAGTTGAGGAACACTCTCCTTGTCTCTGTTTAGCCGTGTCATGTTGACTTATACAAGCCACTGTATACTGGTGGCAGGTCAACGTTACATAGTTACAACCTGAAGAAATCCCTGTCGCTTTTATCACGTAGGGCAACCAGGTTTTCAATGACAACTTGTTGACGAATAAAAAAATTATAGTGAGACACAATAACAGTGTTTATCCTGTTAGAAGAGCACAAAACGCCACAGAGTCACAATACCTCGAAGTAGTCAGATATAATGTGTGGGAAACACAGCTATGTCAACCATCCAGCTGAAACAGCTACTATACCACTCACGTTCACAGTCAAAGTCAAATGTCCACAGTCACGTTCATTTATTGCCCCGCTTCATGTACAATCATTGACAACCCACGTAGGTGAACAATCATTCATTACCCACCTTCAAATAAAATCCTTGAATAGCCACCTTTACGTACAATCATCAACTTCTCACCTTTAAACAGACATTCACTGTAAAAAGAGTGAGTGAGTGAGTTTAGTTTTACGCTACACTCAGCAATATTCCAGCTAGATGGCGGCGGTCTGTAAATAATCGAGTCTGGACCAGACAATCCAGTGATCAAAAGCATGAGTGTAAAAAGAAAACGCTCAATCATTCAGTAGGCAACTTGAAGTACAATCAATGCAGACTTCATATCTGCAACCATTCAGTGCCCACCTTTACGTACAATCTTTCACTTCTCTCATCTTCATCAACCCTTCACTGTCAAAAACCACGTTTGCCTGCAACCATTCACTGCCCATGTTTACGTACAATCTTTCACTTCTCATCTTTGAGCAACCCTTCACTGTCAAACAACATGTTCAATCAATGAGTAGGGAACTTCATACACATTCAACCCATGCTTGTCGTCCCAAAATTAAATCATTTATTCGGTGAACTTCCTGACCCAGATAATGAAACTACAAATAAATTTCAACAGAAATGTGTTAAATTTATCTGGAACAATAAACCTGATAAAATTAAGAGAAGCCAAATTATCTGTGACAAACAAGATGGAGGCTTCAACATGCCAAATATAAAGACATTAATGCCTGCTCAGAAACTATCAATGGTCAGAAGGTTTTTCAGTCCAGTTGGTGCTATCTATTTATTTCAAATCTCCCAAAGTTTGGCGCTGGTTATGTATTCGATTATAACTGCCAATATCTGTCAGAAGAATGTCCCCCACTGATCCACAATAAATATTATAGGGATGTTTTATGTGCCTGGTGGCAATTTATATCTCGGAATGAAACTGACTATGACGTAAATGATATACTTGCCGAAAATCTCTGGTACAACAAAAACATATGTGTAGGATGTAAACCAATTTTTTGCAAACAATGGTATGATAAAGGAATTCGGTGTATCAACGATTTACTTGACTTAAATGATAACATATACTGCTTTGAAAATTTTGTAAAACACTATCATTTAAAAACTGATTTTCTAACATTTACTGGCCTCAATAGATCCGTAAAGTCATATTTGAGAACACTAAACATAGATTTTAAGACTTTGTCAAAAATACCAAACCCAGCTTTACCAGCAAATATAAAACAGCTCCTCAGGGATGCAAAGGGGACACAACGGTTTTACAGAACATTATTGTCAGATGTCACTACAAAACATTTACATTGCCAAAAATGGGAACAAAGTATCTTAAACAACGAAGTCTTGTCTGACGACTGGAAAAATTATAACAAAATACCATTTAGATGCACCAATGACAGTAAACTGCAATGGTTCCAATATAGAATATTACATCACATCTTACCGACAAATATAAAGCTATTTAAGATTGGGTATATAAATAATTCAAAATGCATCTTTTGCCAAAACGAAATTGAGACACTCGATCACGTGTTCTGGTTTTGCAGTAAAGTCAACCATATCTTGCAAAAACTTGAAATCTGGCTAAATCATAAAGCTCTTGTCAATATCAAAGTATCAAGAAAACAGGTATTGCTCGGTTTCCCAGAAAAAAACAATGACCCTCCCAATATTATTATTATTATCTTTTAAAAACTAAATTTTGGAAGCAGATTAAAAAACAGTGTGCCACCATTCCATGTTTTCCAGAATGAAATTAGACATTATTATATAATAACAAAGTGCTCTTCTTTAATGGAGTGTAATATCAGCGCCTTTTATAAGTTTTGGTCTTCATGTCATGATTTGTACGTCATATGCTTGTATTGTATTGTAACCTGAATGTCCTTTGTTGAGTTTTCGGAATAGACTGTAAAACATCTTTAAAAACAATAAAATTATAAAAATAAAACAATTAACTTCTCATCTTCATCAATCCTTCACTGTCAAAAACCACGTTTGTCTGCAACCATTCACTGCCCATGTTCCCAATTGCGTAGATCGATGCTCATGCTGTCGATCACTGGATTGTCTAGTCCAGACTCGATCATATACAGACAGGAGGCACATAGGTGGAATATTGCTGAGTTCGACGTTAAACAACATTCAATCAATCAAATCATCTCATCCACATTGGGTCGACCGATGCTCATGCTGTCAATCATTGTCTGGAAAAACATACAATTATCCACTTCACATGTTTAAGTAGGCAACTTCAAATATATTCAATGCCGACTTCTACAATCGTTCATTGCCCACTCTCGTTCACAACCACTGATTACCCACCTTCAGGCTGGCAAGGATCGCAAATATCCCCACAGGCAGACAGAAGATGAGTGAGACGACGGAGAAGATGAGATGAGAGTCAGGGGGCGACGTGTCTCGCCTGTCTAATGACGTAGGAATGTGTGACGTCGACATGTTGACACCTGTGCCGGGGTTGCGAGATCTGCACATAACGAACGGATAACTATCAGATATTTTCCATATACTGTCTGTATAACTTTGCGTATGTGGACTGAGACACTGTGTGTACATGGTCTACGGTGCTGTGTGCATATGGTCTACGGCAATAGTGTCTATGGTCTAGAGCACTACGTGTGTATCGTCTAGGGCAGTGTGTGTATGGTCTTGGGCAGTGTGTGTGTGTGGTTGAGGGCACTGTGAGTGTATGGTCTAGGGCACTGTGTGTGTATGGTGTAGGGCACTGTGTGTGTATGGTCTAGGGCACGGTGTGTATATGGTTTAGGGCACTGTGTGTGTATGGTCTAGGGTAGTGTGTGTCTATCGTCTAGGGCACTGTGTGTGTGGTCTAGGGCACTGTGTGTGTATGGTTTAGGGTACTGTGTGTTACCCTAATGGTATATGTATATGGTCTAGGGTACTCTGTGTGTATGGTCTAGGGCACTGTGTGTATATGGTTTAGGGTACTGTGTGTGTATGGTCTAGGGCACTGTGTGTATGTGGTCTAGGGTATAGTGTGTGTATGGTATAGGGTACAGTGTGTGTATGGTCTAGGGTACTTTTGTGTGTGTGTGGTCTAGGGTATTGTGTGTATATGGTCTAGGGTACTGTGTGTATGGTTTAGGGCACGGTGTGTGTATGGTCTAAGGTACTGTGTGTATATGGTCTAGGCACTGTGTGTATATGGTCTAGGGTACAGTGTGTGTGGTATAGGGTACTGTGTGTGTATGGTCTAGGGCACTGTGTGTATATGATCTAGGGTACAGTGTGTGTGTGGTCTAGGGCACTGTGTGTGTATGGTCTAGGGTACAGTGTGTGTATGGTCTAGGGTACAGTGTGTGTATGGTCTAGGGTACTGTGTGTGTATGGTTTAGGGCACGGTGTGTGTATGGTTTAGGGCACGGTGTGTGTATGGTCTAGGGTACTGTGTGTGTGTGGTATAGGGTACTGTGTGTGTATGGTCTAGGGCACTGTGTGTATATGGTCTAGGGTACAGTGTGTGTGTGGTCTAGGGCACTGTGTCTGTATGGTTTAGGGTACTGTGTGTTAATGGTCCAGGGCACTGTGTGTGTATGGTCTAGAGTACTGTGTGTTGATAAACTGAAATACTATGTAGATATGGTCTAGGCTTCCGTGTGTAGATAAACTGAGCCATTGTGTGTCTAAGGTCTAGGATACTGTGTGTCTATGGTCTAGAGTACTGTGTATATATGGACTAGGGCACAGTGTGTATATGGTCTAGGGTACTGTGTCTCAGTTTATCTACACACAGTAGCCTAGACCATATCTTCACAGTGTCTGGTGTATGGTGATATATTTTCAAAATGACCCCATGAAAATTCACTAGCCAGTCGGGCCAGTGACTTTGGAGATATACTGGCCCGACTGAATTTTTACTAGCCACGGGCTAGCGGGCTAGTGGCTATTTCGCACACTGGTTCATGGTCTAGGTTACGGTGTGTATATGGTATAGGGCACTGAGTGTTTATGATCTAGGTGTCTATAAACAGACAGTGCCCTAGATCATATGCACACAGACACATGCACATACGACATTGTCTTTTCTATGTCGCTGTCAGTCCATTGCCTTCGATTGTATTTTTCTGTGAATATCGTGACTAGAACACAAATGTAAGTTTTTTATAAATTAAAAACATGATAAAATATGTGGCTAAGTATGAGTAGGGTGAGACAAGTACTCCTGTCGTAAATGTGTACACACAAGCTTGATACTGTGACATGAATAGCATCGTGTGTAACAAGGGATGTGATTTAGACTGACATTTAACGCTGCACATGGAACATTAGACGATTTGATTTACTGGATAGGCTGGCTATGATGTAAGTGACATAAATCAAAATTACATCCTTTTAAGCCTGAATACTGAACCGTTTGTGTCACTATTCCGGAGGTGCAGGCTCAACACAACCTTCCCTGTACATATGTCAGGCCACATCGTTCATGAATTAAAATGTGTGCTGATGAACAAAATGTACAGTTATCCATTGTACATGGATCGGGGGCTAACGTACAGGTACAGTTAATGATTGTACATGGATCGGGGTCTAACGCACAAGTACAGTTAACCATTGTACATTGATCGGGGTCTAACGCACAGGCACAGTTAACCATTGTACATGGATCGGGGGCTAACGTACAGGTACAGTTAACCATTGTACATGGATCGGGGGCTAACGTACAGGTACAGATAACCATTGTACATGGATCGGGGTCTAACGCACAGGTACAGTTAACCATTGTACATGGATCGGGGGCTAACGTACAGGTACAGTTATCCATTGTACATGGATCGGGGGCTAACGCACAGGTACAGTTATCCATTGTACATGGATCAGGGTCTAACGCACAGGTACAGTTAATGATTGTACATGGATCGGGGCTAACGTACAGGTACAGTTATCCATTGTACATGGATCGGGGCTAACGTACAGGTACAGTTAACCATTGTACATGGATCGGGGCTAACGTACAGGTACAGTTATCCATTGTACATGGATCGGGGGCTAACGTACAGGTACAGTTAACCATTGTACATGGATCGGGGGCTAACGTACAGGTACAGTTAACCATTGTACATGGATCGGGGGCTAACGTACAGGTACAGTTATCCATTGTACATGGATCGGGGGCTAACGTACAGGTACAGTTATCCATTGTACATGGATCGGGGTCTAAGGTACAGGTACAGTTATCCATTGTACATGGATCGGGGGCTAACGTACAGGTACAGTTATCCATTGTACATGGATCGGGGCTAACGTACAGGTACAGTTATCCATTGTACATGGATCGGGGGCTAACGTACAGGTACAGTTATCCATTGTACATGGATCGGGGGCTAACGTACAGGTACAGTTAACCATTGTACATGGATCGGGGGCTAACGTACAGGTACAGATAACCATTGTACATGGATCGGGGGCTAACGTACAGGTACAGTTAATGATTGTACATGGATCGGGGGCTAACGTACAGGTACAGTTATCCATTGTACATGGATCGGGGTCTAACGTACACAAGTATAATTTCGACTTTGACTTCGGCTGCTTTTGTTGTATTTTCCATTTGACATTATAATATATCCATGTTTGTTTTGTTTGTGTCAACAAAGTTTTAAACTTAATATAACGACAGGCTATTGGATAACAATAAACAACATACACAGAACAAATGCTTATACACTCCACACTCGCTGTCATAGTTGCAAGTCAAACTTAACGAGCAAATTAATATTGACAGTTGAGACATAGGTTTAACTTAGAACGTTACTTGGTCAGTGTTGATAGTCACTATTTTCACCACTGTCTCCTCGGAATGAGAAACTGAATGAACGTTTTATAATCATAACATTTGAGGGTAGAATATATGTCACCTACTCTAACGCTGAACATCATAAAATGTACATCAAAGATACAACTAAATAAATATCGTATATAGATATATAAGCACATCCTTACCTTCAAGGATAACTTCTGAGTGTTATCTGGTCGAATGAAGTAGCATGAAATTACTTGCAGCGTGTTATCAACAACAACGATGTGGACGCCCCTTTTGATAGGGAGTCACGTGACTTGGCTGTTTCCAGTGACCTGATTTCGCGTGCCTGTATGCATGGGAGACTCGGAGTGCCGTTTCATCAGCGAATGGTGCACGTGACAGTGTATTGTGGAATGCTTGTGAAAGGTTGTATATTAACAGACTCAACTGTTGATTAAGGAAACTCAGTTGTTTATTATCTAATATCAAAGAGGTATGTGATAAATCACAAAGAGAATGGCGGTGGGGTAGCCTACTGGTTAAAGCGTTTGCTGGTCACGCCGGAGGCCAGGTTTTGGCCCATATGGTTACAATGCGTCAAGCCCTTTCCATTTTTGGACTTTCTTGCAGTGGTATTGCTCGAATGTGACTAAAGGGAAATAATTGATACGTCTTAATTTTTTCTCAAATACAAAGAACAAGGAATGGTTTATTTCACGATGAAGCATTATGTCATGACGTCATTTCCTGGAGATTCGATCATATGCTTGCATCTGATGACGCAATTTTGACGTTATTTTTAAGAGGGTTATGATTTGTTCCCATTAGAACCAGTTGGTTAAGGCAGATAAACGCAGTGGCTGAACGGTCGCATTCTAGTTGTTCAAAATAGCAGGGAGAGTGAGGGAGTGAGTTTAGTTTTACGCCGCATTCAGCAATAGTCCAGCTATATGACGACGGTCTATAAATAATCGAGTCTGGTTCAGACAATCCGGTGATCAACAGCATGAGCATCGATCTACACAACTGGGATACGATGACATGTGTGAACCAAGTCAGCGCGCCTGTCCAACCGATCCCGTTAGTCGCCTCTTACTACAAGCATGGGTTACTGAAGATTAAATCTAACTCGGATCTTCACGGGTCCTGAGAGGGAGAGACGGTACAGGTAATGGCAGTGAGAATAGTGGAAATACCAAACACAAATATGCTGTTAAAATCAGCATTAAGACGTAAGGTATGTGCAATTGTATATGCTTTATCTGTACAAATGTTTCTGCCAATATAAAACAAAAACACCTAAGAATATTTCCTGAATGTTCAACGTTTTATCACCAGCAGGTGCTTGCAGACTATACCATGAATGTGAATCTCGTTCAATTGTTCTCATGATCGATCGCATCTGAAGCCCACCTGTAGAATGCAAATATAGACCTGGAACAACAACCAGCGCAATATGTTATAGACTGGTCCCTATAATGTGCACCTGCCGTGTAGTGAGCATCCGAGGTTTTCATCTTCCAGAAAAAATATAGCAATATTTCACAAGAAAATCGATTCATGATCACACAAATTGACGTTCCAGAACATTTGGTATAACATATGAGGATGTTTTTTATTATCACCGGGATTCGAGTTGATATCACATTTATCGATCACTATGACGACTGTACTAGGCTAACAACTAATCTCTGAAATGAAAATATTTTACAGAAAAAAAAGCTCAAAATAAAAAAATAAAGTATAACGAAAAGGGGCCCTGAGACTTTTTTTCATTTTCCTGAAGCTGTGGAAATCTAGACTTGCCACATTTTCTAGACTTACATGGGTTTTCTTGGATATATTTGCTTCAGGGTCTGTATGACAGACTACGACTGTACCCGCATTTGGGAACTATCGTCCCTTATGGCGTGTTTTGTTCCAAGTGCTGCAGGTGTTTGATGTGTCTGGTGAGTCGACTAGCTGGCATGTCGACGTACAGTGCGTGCCCTGTATGTATCACAAGATGATAATTTGTAGAGGAATATCATACAACATAGGACTGAGTGAGTGAGTGAGTTTGGTTTTACGCCCCTTTTAGCAATATTCCAGCAATATCATAGTAGGTGATACCAGAAAGGGCTTCACAGATTATACCCATGTGGGAAATCGAACTCAGGTCGTCGGCATGACAAGCAAACGCTTTAACCACTAGGCTACCCCGTCGCCCCAGCATCACAGGAGTGAGCGAGCGAGCGAGTGAATTGGGTTTATGCCGCTTTTAGCAATATTACAGCAATATCACGGCATGTGACGCCAGAAATGGGCTTCACACATTGTACCCATGTGGGGAATCGAACCCGGGCCTTCGGCGTGACGAGCGAACGCTCTAACCACTAGGCTACTTCACCGTCCCCAACATCATAGGAAATATTATTAAATTAGCAATGACCCAGTGACACGACAGAAACTGTGTGCGTGCGTGTGCGTGCGTCAGTGCGTGTGTGTTACTGCTTATACATTTACAGACAAGGATATATTGTTGTACTCAGTCTTCCATTTACATGAGGACGAAGAGATACTACACGCGCTGAATCATCTGAAGGAGCCCGCGTCGAACAGAGCCCCCTCATGATGACAACTATCTCACCCATGAAGAGCCGGGCTAGATTTGGTCTTCAGGAACCAATGCCTGTAGTAAGAAGCGACTAACCGGATTGGGCCGCTGACTTAGGTGATGCACGTCAACAATCTAAACTGAACAGATCGATGCTCATGATGTCAATCACAAGATTGTCTGGTCTGGACTTGATCATTAACATATAGCTAGAATATTGCTGGGTGAGGCGTTAAGGTCCCTCCTACACCCCCACCTTTATAGGATAGCAAATGGAGGGATCACCTTTTCTCACTAAAACAGCAGGATCTTTTTTTTCAACTGGTCTGGGCCACACAGGGATGCACTGGTGCCACGTATAGTATACCTGTCCTGTTCTATTTTATTGTAATGACAAGGGTCGGGTGTAATGACAGCCCTGTAATGATGATAATGTACACATTGCTAGAATACCCAAGGGGTCGATACATATACATCGATGGATTCAGACATATTCTCCGCCTAACTACTCCCCAAGATCAACTCCCATTTTTATTGTTTGCGGTCGAGGTTGTAACTGTTGCCCCTGATACACAGAAAGAAACCTGTGTCCGACTCAATTCGTTATATTCGCATTTCGACTAAAAAACACAGCAAGTGGCCGGGACCAGTAGTACAGTTCATTGTATCCGTCAGGTCGTTATAAGCGGGTTAGGGGTTTACTGAAGGTACATTGTGTGGAGCCCTGGTGTCCGGGCCCCGATGTTGCTAGAAATTTGCTAAATGTGGTGTAAAAACAATCCACTCACTCCTTCGTTTTAAGTTGATGTACATTTCTTTCAGGTTTAAAATTATAATATGAAGACTCCTTTCGGAATCAAACCAATACTTGTATTTGAAGCGATTTTTAGTTAATTATGGAGCCAATTTACTGTCTTGGTAGATTTTTCAATGCTTGTTGTTTAACGCAACATTTAGCAAAATTCAAGCTATAGAACATGTGGTTGTAAAGACTTATCCAGACCATGCAGTGGTTGATATTACGAGCACCTGTCCACGTGGCGCGATAACACAGGTCCCGCGACACGGACTTCCGACATGTTTCCAGCATTATTTCTGAACACAGCATTGATATTCATCTTAAAACTTCAGTATTTAGACAGAGAAATACCGTAGTCAGCAGATTGAGATCTTGGTGTTTGAAATTTGTTAGTATTCCCACTGGTTCTGCCTCATCCTTCTGTTAGCGGAGTAGTTCCCTCATAGACCTCAAACACGAATGTAGCATTTCCTGGGTCTTGAAGACGCATGTTATGCGAAAACAGTGTATGGTTCGTTTTCAGTTAGTGATCACAGAGCGAAGTTTCACGGTAACTGCATGCCCCGACTGGTTGACTAACAAGGACCTAAGAACACTGGTTTCATACAAATCGTGATGATTCTTTTAGTATAATTAGGGCAAATACTGGGTTGGAAACAGTGAACAGGACGGACGCAATCGAATCCCCTAAGTAAATTATTTACACTTTTGTGAGTTGTTTAGCGCAGCCCTCAACAATATCCCAGCTGTCGGGTCTGTGAATAATCCAGTCTGGACCAGTTAATGATATTCACATCATGAGCATCGAGCAGCGAAATTGGGATACATGTGCCAACTAAGTCAGCTATCCTGACCACCTGTAACTGAGAAAGTATTTCAGTTATACCGGAAGGGAAAAAAACCAACAGTGACACACCCATGTAAATACGGGGGTGAAATCCACGTCCATACGGTACTTTCAAACCAAGGACGTGATTCTGTTTTAACAGCATTCCACTAACATCAGTGTTTTGTCAGCTTTGGGATAGCCCAAACGATGATGGTATATCATATTTACCACTTTGTGAAACCGATCAAGCACTGGTGTAGGACCGACCGATCAGTTGTCAAACCCACGATCGTAGCTTTCTGGCGGGCGTCAGGGGTAGCAACCCTGCAGAGGAAAGTGCAGCGCCTTAGGATATCAAGTTCTTTGATGTGTTTAAAAGTATTTTAATTTCATCACCGCACGTCAGATCAATGTAGGAGGATTGTGACGCTGGTCATGAATGCTGACCATGGAGGTGAAACATAAAGAAATAAACCCCTGGTATGAATATACCTAGATAAATATTGGATTCAAACCCGAGATTGTGATGCTTTGCAACACTTGTAGTGGGTGGGATTATGTCAAAATTGTGCACTTTGGGTAAAACCCACCAAACTTATCACACTTACACATCGAACAAGTCCAAACATTTCTGGATGTGGATCTAGTTCAGCAGTGCCCCCTTGTGGCAGAAATGGAAAGTATGGTATGGTTCAATATACAAGTGTGCCACGTTTGGTACTTTTACCCCAAAGTGCACCATTTTTGCTGCAACAACAATGGTTCTTGTGCCGAACACGGCTGAATATTTCTTTTGACAGTGTATACACTCACCGTCCTTAAACAAAACAGAACAGAGAAGGATTTCAAGAATACTCATACTTTAATTGAATCCCAATTGATCCCGAATGAGTTAGGTTCTACAATGGACTTGCAACTGTGCACGGAGGCCAAGCGTTGGAGATACAGAGTGGCTGGCGAACCCATGACACCTACTTACCACTTCAGAATAGTATTGCACACAGGTATGGTGTGAAAAACAAACATTCGGATAACACTGCTATTTATCACTGTGTACTTACCCATAACACAAACTTAGCCATAGGCTTTGTCAAGTGGCATATTTTTTTGTTATATATATATAAATAATCTCAAGTTTCACAAAATAATATTTCATGGAAAATAATGTTCCCTTCAAGTGAGATGATACACAAAGTTAACAATCCTTTTTTTCTTGCTCAATTTTTCACCAATTATAGTGCTGTCAAAAATTTGAACAGGTTTGTAAAAGAGCTAAAAGAGCAAATAAATCAACAATTGCCTTGCAAGAGGAACAACTTGTGTCAGTTGGACAAAGTGGTTCCGCTACCAAGGATGGGGGATATTGCTTTACCATGGTGGGATGTAGTAAACCATTCTTCTGACAAGATGTCTTTGATTAAATTCACAGAACTTGGTCAATTCCTTATCCTGTGACAAGAATCAAAGTGTTTTTGCAATCTATTCAAAAGCCTATACATATTAATACCCATATGAACAATAACACAGTGACTTAACAATGTTGTAAAACTGTATCTTAACAATATTGCAGTGAATAATATTCACATTTTGGCAGGTTTTTTTCAGTTTCAAATAAAAACTCCAGTCCAAACTTTGACAGCACTTTACTGAGAGATCTTTCAGTCAGCCAGCTGACCTCAATACAAGGGAATATCGCCACAATAATCACAAGATGTGAAATGTTTGATGAAAGCCACCTTAACTGCACACAGCAGAAGAAATATAACTACCACCAAATCCAAGGAAAGAAGACCAGAAATAGGAGATATATGTAAGACGAATAAAATAATTAGTTACAATCAAATGTAATGCTGTCTACAAATGGTAGGGATTAGAAGTTCAACCTATCGTCACCCTTTGATTCAAGCCTATTGTACCCTAGGGTTTCTGCAACTAGAAAACACTCACACGCTTAGCTATACTGACTAGATAAAAATATAAAATGCATAATTTAAAACCGAATAAAGCTATTTGGGCCACACTCTGACCTGCTATATTGGAGTAGAAGTGTCAATGGAATGAACATGGGTCATTAGATACTATGAATTTAGGTGACTTAATACCAGTTATGGATATAATATGAAATAACATGGAAATAATGTAGAACTCTATATACTGTGTTATGAAATTAGTGAAAATAGTAGGACAGTATTAATCTCAACATTAATATACAGTAGCTTCCAAGGTCTGTGACAAGATCAGAGCAAATGCAGTGGCAATGATTGCGATAACTAGCATGGAGGTTACAAGGATGAAGTGTGAATAATATGAAAATCTCAAAATTTCATGTGACAATGATTCTCAATTTATGTACTTTTCAACAGTGATATTCTTTCATAAAATCCTGTATCTTCCAAAAGAAAAATAAATCCATTGGGAATTAATTGGAATTTTTCACAAATTGATGGACAATTTACAAAATGGTATGAAACTTTCTACAATGAAGATATACAACAGGCAGTGAAAGGTTCTCTTCTGATATATGCAGTTATCTCCCCTACCAAATGCCCAACAACCAAACCTAACTTATTTCAAATTTGAAATTTCTTCTTTTTTAATAATTCTAAAAATCCATGACTCACTGATATGTAATAACAAAATAGGTGTTTTCAACACCTGCCAATGATAAAACTGATGCATGGGTCCTGAAACAAGGTAGGTTAACTAACACCAGCACTAAATACCTGGGATCAAGAGTCAGAGTGTGCCCTTACACAACAAATACAAAATATTAAGATACCTCTAACAATGAAGTGCTACAGAAATCAGTACTAAGTAGACTGGTGATAAAATGCTAACGGCATACAAAGTTGATCACACAAATAAAATACCATAACACTGATTAGGAGATCAGAAAGCCAATCCACCCAAGTTTTAAAATTCTATAGGATCCTGTTAGGATTTCGGTTATATGGAGTTATGCAGTGAGCACAGTACACGATGCTTAATTTGTGGTTAGGTATAACATGGCAAAAACTCTATTCTCCTATTGGTATGAAATCTGAATTGTACAATGAAGTTTGACAAAAAATATATATTCAATATTCCTCTTAGATACACAAGAATAAAATGCAATTGTTTTGACATGCAGTGCCAGAGCTGAATCTGGGTATCTAGGTATTAAAAAATCTCTCCCATTCCGGTTTGTGCAGAATCCAAAGACGAAACAACAGCAACGATTGACCTATACATTTAACATACACTTTTCTCCTGAGAGCAACTTTCAAATACTCAGCAATTATAACACTGACTTGAATGGCGTTCAAAATATCAAGCTTACAATGAAACAGTATATCAAAATACTCACTTTAGATAGGAATCCATTACAAAGAAGGCTACCTCTGACATTAATAAATAACAGCTTATTCAGTAGTCTTTGGATTTTGAACAAATATGTTACTCCTTGCATCGACAATAAATACATCCACATCTACTAAAGATTGTCTGGTGATATTAGCAACGTCAAAATACAACACTCTCACACCTTAAGTGACCTCAACGCACTTGAAAAATAAGTGGAAGAAATTAATACGAAGAAGAATCAATCATCACCTTCCAACATCAAAAATTCCTGAATAATAGTTAAATAATGATCAAAAAACAATATACATTATACTAACATAGCAAGCTAAGCTGCAATCTCATAAAATCTTTGTGAAAGGAAACGTAAGAACCAATTAACATCAAACCCAACCAGCAAGTTTCTCTGCCTTTTGTTGTTTATGTTAGTGCTTAGTTACCACACAAAATCATTTAGAGACTGGACAATTATGTTCTCGCGCAGGGACAAGTACAAATATAAATTTCTGTTCAATGTATCTTACAATTTGACCTGTAGTTCAGTACAATTTTATACATAATAGTATCACACTATACACAAGTCTTGGACAAGGAATATTCACATAGAGTATTTGCAATTTGAAATTCATATCTTCCAGCATTGTTTAAGTACATAAACTCCATCTTTAGATCCTGATTGGATAGTTTTACCACAGCGGATTGGGAATACACTTGGAAACATGTTTTTCTTCCCAAATGGTGGGTAGAAAAATGACAGGAATCCATGCCACGGCACCCGGCCATCATCACTTGACTGTCGTATTTGGATATAAAAATGACCATCTTACAATACATATATACAACTGGGGATATGGAGCTTCCCCCTGTGAGGTACGGGAATCTCTAGTTAACTTATACCGTCGTCCAGCATTTTGAAGTCATTATGTAATCAAGGCAGATTGACAAATGCCGAAAATGCAATAAAACAATCCACAAACTTGTGCTTTTGTTCTGACACGGCTTGACTTGAAACGTGAATTTTGAGGTTTGTATTCCAAATCATGTTTAACTTAAAACACAGAAAACAAAACGTTTATCATGTTCTATATCATGTTCATATGAAATAATGAAGCTCTACTGGGTTATCTACCTTGCCATTACTATTCACTTGGGTTAAAAAGAAAAGATCTACACTCTGGAACATTGAAATTCAAGTTCTGATCGATAACCCATCACTCGAACTATTGAATTTTAATACTCTGCCCGATCACCTAAATCTTCCTGCCACTTTACTACTGATAAGTCCATAACTATTTAACATTGCAAGATTTGAAACAACAAACTCAAAGTTGAAATTTGTTTTCATATGATTTTACATTGTTTACCCATAACACATAAATGACATATTAATTATCATGAAAAATTCAGTCAACAAAAATATACCCATCATAAAATGAACACACATGTAATTGAAAACCAGATATGTAATTCGAACTGTACAAAGGACAGACTTAATATTACAAATACCAGGAAACTCACTGAATTCAATTTTCACCAAAAACACACAATTCTCCACCAATGCCAGAGAGACAACAAAAGCACAAGTCTGAGAAAGAACACGATGACATCATAGAGTTAATGCTTCAATATTGAAAGACATATAAATACTGGCATGTAAAAAAATACCTGCTACACCACATTCCAACATGAAAGCTATCACACTACACACACACTTACACCCACACATACACGCTGGGAGTTGCTGGTAGGTAAATACGGCCTATATACAAGGTGTCCTACGGTTGAGTCCAGATTAATCCCCAGCCAAACGATTGGACATAGGTGATTAACCTGAAAACAAAAGCTCATGACATGCATAGTATAAGGACTCAAATTGAAAGTCCAAATTGTATGAATACTTCAGTTTCAAAGAAATCAACAAGCTGTCATTAACCGATGCTTTGAATAATCCACACTAAATACACACAAATGATTTCACTATGAAATAGCCATTACCTTTGAAATTTTCTCAGTGAATGTAAATTGGATTAAACACAATTTTCAAACTGTTGAACTTGATCCTAATACCATGCAAGCTTATAAGGCAAAGAAACGTGAGCGAGGACATTTGCAATTATGTCCGTAAACGCATAAAACCCTGAGGGTGCAGACTGGGCAACATGATCTCCGGAAAACCAAGAATAGTTGCCATCGACTATATTACAACGTCCCGTCTGTCAGTACTGAATCTTCAAACCTTAGATAATTTGTCCCATAAGGAAAATTTAGTCTTCACAGCAATCTTGCCTGCTTCTTTCTGTCTCAACCCCTTTAAACCCACACTGCCCTATCTGCACCCTCTGTAAAGCAAACCTCCCGAAATCGAAATGGACACATCAAGCCAAATTGCCCAGTTTCAAGACTACAGGTGAACAACATGAAACTTCAAACTACAATGTGATATAATAAGAACTACAATAGTAATATTAAATATCATAATGATAATGAGAATAATAAAATAGGACTAACATCAAAATAACATCTATTCTACGACTATGGTGCACCAACTTTTCCAATTAACGGCAGTATGCAGGGTGACAAAAAAACCATGTATTTCCATACAACACCAACGATTATAATATAATAGACACTCACTTTGAAAAATACAATGATTCCAATTTCCAAATAGTCTAGCCTATAAAAATATCATATATTGGCTCTCTACTTGCATCCAAGTGCCCCTTCTGGCAACAGTTGCTATGTTAGCTTGCGAATCCATCTGGTGACAATCACAGACGTATATCCCATTGATCTCTATTTGATTTCATGCTAAAATACATGGCTACAATGTATTAAAAAGGTTAAACCTATAAAATATGATAAGACAATATCCCATTCAACAATATACATAATAGTTATATAGAAAATCTTGTTAAGCAAACACAAGCAAAAATTTCATTGCAAATTCCTGTGAGCGACAACAAAAAACACAGCTACTGTACGTGATCAACATACTGTAGGTAAACTAACAATATTTCTGTTAAAATGCAAACTCAGTGGCTAATTCAGATCAAATCTTGAGTAATGAATAACAAAGCAAAAACAGTGATGAATATGGGAAACTGCCATGCATTGTAGTAAGAAGCACTGAAGCCAATCGAAAGCCAGTTTGTCCATTTTGCCCTAGGCTATCACAACCTCCTGCTTTTCATTAAAACAGCAATTTTTGGTACATGTGACTCAAGTTATCTTGACAGAGACAGTTCATGAAAATAGGTCCTCTCAAGGCTCCGAGATACCCATTTAATTCCTGAAAGGAATCTTGGAAGCTGAATTTACGTTGCCTTGTATCTAGTCAGTTCTCCACCATAATCTGCTTGTTGTTTGGGTGTGTGCATACGTACGAAATTAACGCACTGTGGAAAGTGAAATCGCCAAATAACTTGGTGCTTTTCCGGGAAAATAATCACACATTTAGAAGTATCACAAATATTGAGGAAAATCTGGGATTTGCTGCACCAGCTTATGATGTTTCACAGTGTTTGTAACTGTGGCAACAGGCTTTATCTGTAGGGGCGAGTTGGCACGTGGGAAGACCTGAAGCCTGGGTTGTCTCCCTTGACCTGAATTGCACCCATCACTATGGGACTAATTCATTGTCGACACTCTCTCGAAGCTGTCACTTCAATCCAACAGTCCCACTGATGCAAAATATACATATAAATGCCCAAAATATTGGATAACAGGCACAACTCAAGACAACAGTAGACAACCAGCCAGATCTCTACAGGAATTGCATACCACTAACCCTATCCCGCAAAATACTGATACTGCCTTGCTTTGATTGGACTGAGCTGATACGTGGTGTACACCCCACCAGCTGATGAGTTGAGATAATTGGCGCCTCCGGCGTACTGCGGGTGGATCTGGGTGTGGTACGTGGGGATACTGGACGTATGCAGCACTGGGTGCATGTGTGCGGGGAGAGGGTGGGTTGTGTACTGGACGTGGCGGGGGCTCTGGTGCGCAGGGGGAGGGGCCATGTTGGGGGAAAATGGCCCGTACTGCCCCACCCCTGCTGGGATGGCCATCTGGGGCTGCTGGTGGGCAGGGACAATGTAGTGGTGGATCGGACTGCTCTGTAATGTGGGGCCTCGACGGTACTCCCTGGAATACAATATTGGAAGCATTAAGTACATGGCACAGAGGAAAGATCAGCAAGTTTGTTTCACCACTACTTCAAATTACTCATATCGCAGTGCATGAGTTGGATGTGGGAAGAAAACCTGAGGTAATGCACGTCTTAGGTTTTTATCTTATACTTTTTGGAATTCAACAATGGAGAATTAAAAACAATTACAGATTGACAATGCACAAACCTTTGTCAAACATCAATGAAACTGAACCATTTAAAACAACAAATCCTGGACAATTACATATGCTTTTTACACTGATGTTGTCGAAAAACAAATGTCCAACATACAGAAAAATAAAAAAGGAAATAGATGAAGACGAGAGTCCACCCATGAAAATGAGTTAAAGATTGCTTTTGAAGTTGGCAAGTTTAAGGTGAATAGTGTGTATCAAATGCCTTTCTTGTAAAGGTGACAGTAAATTTTCCATAATATGTGAACGAGATGAACTAAAAATCAATGTGTCCACTCACCGGTGAATCTCAACCTGAGAAGCTGGATTAAGCAGGACAGGTTGTCCTATTTGTACACTGGCTTGAACAGGTGACAACTGGTTGACACTTGTTCCAGCCTGCTGGCGTTGAATGAAATTTAGATTGCCTGGTCTGTGCCGGTGGCTTGAAGACTGGGCTGCACTACTTGCTGTTTGACTGTTGATTTTAATGGAGGGGTTGGCCACTGATCGAACAGTTGGGGAAACGTAAGCTAGCTTTCCTTGGGCTGCGGCTGTAGAAACTTCAACCTCCAGTGGAGGTAATCTTATTTCCTGTTTGGGGCTTCGTACTCGGAACCGGTTGCTTCCTTGCGATACCGGCATCTCCTTTTGTGGAATGTTGGCCATGTAGGGGGTGACTTTGGCCTGCTCCCCGGTTTCCGGGAGGAGTTTGACAAGTTCGGGGGCACGAATGCCATGGAGGCAGACGATGTGGTGCTCCCGCTGGCACCAATCGCCTGACTCCCATACAGACAATTCGTGTGACTGGTGGCGCCAGTAAAGTCTTCGTGTTTAATTGGCATAAAGACTACTTTCTTCTTGCCGGACGATGTGCCACTTTCTTCGGTGTCGGACTCCTGGCCGTCCGGGACCGTCACACAACTCATGTTTCGCTGGCACTGAGAAATTGCTGCAAAATACACTCCACATTACAGCCTTGGCTTACGTTTTACTCATTTAAAGTAGTCATTATGATCATACATCCAGAAAAGCAAGGAATTTTCATTATCTTATGGATACCTATAACCTATGACGAGGTCACACTCCAATTATAAAAGTCTTGTGACCGATATCTAAAACCGTAAAACACAGATCTAGGACAGCTATGTTGTGAATCTAACCTTATCACCAAACTATACTTTTAAATAAGAACCAACTGATAGGCTGCCATGAAACCATCACACCATAAAGAGTCAATAATCTGATAAGCTTTATGTGGGCATGACACCATGGGAAAGGGGCATGTTATCTCACCGAAAACCTCAGCTGATGATGGACCACTGCTTCCACTGCTGTTGACCACAGACAGTGTATGCTGGGCGCTGCGACCACTCCCTGGCTGCGATCTGTAACACAGGCTCAAACTGTCTCAACAACATTCTTCAATGAAAACTGGGCTCAGGTCTTAGCAAGTCCAATTGAAGTGTCAAACACTACTTTGTCCGCTTACATAAACTGACACACAATGAAAACTCATTATCAACTTGAACTTCACAGAAAGAATAATTTTATTTTAACCCTGCATTTGTGTAACTAAAATTTAACTCAGTATTAACTTTTTGTTGGTCCTTTTATCACTAAACCAAGCATATAAACATGAATCAATAAATTTCAATTCACGTTTTGGAAGTTTTACCAAAATTTGATGTTGACTTGGGAGCCTGATAACGGTCTCTGTACTTTATTAGGTAACGCCTAAACTGACGCAGGTCTTGCAAGTTTACGACTTGGTGAAACTGTTGGTACGGTATGGAGCAGACAGACCAAACACAAGGTCAGGAAAAACTGGGAATCGAAACAGGAATCAAACCATCAACCATGGTTTCTAGTTATACACAAGGGATACATCCTGGACTCCTTGAACTTCATTCACTGCTCATGATGTGTGTGACAGATATGTAAGACAGATGTGTGTGAATCAATATAATCAGCTGCAGTCATGCTGTCAACTGCTTACCCTCTGGATCTGTGCGAGTGATGTCCTGAGCTGTCCACGTCGTCGTCGCTGTCGGAGCTGATGGTGATGACACTGACTGCGGGACTAGGTGTGTCACGAATCACGATAGTGTGACGTGAGTTGGAATGAGGCACATTTGGTCGGAGGGAACCCGACCAATCAGAAATCTGTAATGTCTCGTCCTGCCCGACTACTTCGGACTGTGGTGGCGAATTTTCCTTCACTCGTTTCTTTACGGGGGAGAACTGCGTTGAGGTGACTTCCTTGTTGCTCCTGTGTGAGGGAGAAAGTTTATCATTCTTTCTTGCAGTTAATGCATGTGCTTGATTTAATGCAGCTTCATTTATTTCAGAGGATTTCAACTTTAGTGGGAGAAGCCAAAGTAATGTAAATAAAAGAAATAGATCTGTTTACTGAAACCAATTAGAAATGTGAGGGAATGGAAATATTAGGGATCATAATAAAAAAAAAACCTGAACAATTTACTCCCAGGATTCTGTCTAACCACTGACTGACTGAGTTTGGTTTTACGCTGCTTTTAGCAATATTCCAGCAACATCACGGCAGGGGACACCAGAAATGGGCTTCACACATTGTACCATTCGAACCCAGGTCTTCGGCGTGCTGAGCCAACGCTTTAACCTCTGGCTAACCAAAGCGATTATGTTACAATGTTGGTCTCTCACCTTTGTTTTGTCTGTCTCTTGCTGGAGGACTGCCCTGAGCTCTGTCTGCTAGACAGCCCATATGTTGAAGGCACCATTCCTATGTTCCAGTGTTGGGCGGTGGAGTTCTGAAATATGGCAGTCACGTCTTAAGATGGGTGATTGAACAAACCTGTTGCAAAATGTACTGAATACTACGAATCCTGCTGATACAGTAACTAGTCCGTACATGGTTTGGTCAAAAGGATTACTTTCTAAGCCAACAGTGTTAAGCCTGGGTAGGAGCTGTTGCATGTCACTGGCGAAAACAGTTGTACATCAGTTGCAACCCATATTTTATGAAGTACACGAAGAATAGACATTCAAGAGGGTGTTGGAGAAGCATGCAGGCAAAGGTGGGCAATCTCCTCACTCACCAATGGTAATACAGTAGAGGGCTGGTCAAAAGTGTCTCCGCCCACCATGATTGACTGTCTCCAGTTGTCTGGGGCGAGGGTGTCAGGGATGACTTGCTGTACGGCCCTCTGGGACCCCAGACTTGGAACCTGGTGCCACGACCCCATCAGCACCTGCCGACTCGGTGGCCAAGAGTTCATCTGGGCATTCTGAAGTCAAGAACAAAAAAGTTATAACCTATTCACTACAAAGGATTCATAAATAACACATGCCTTTTTAAATATTTCAATGTTAAAATTCACTTTTAGTATTACTACTGGTATTTAAAAGAAAAATATATTTTTTTATGGAAAGAATGACAAGATATATGTTCAGCATGTTCTTATACAGAGAGGAATGACATGGTTTATCTTCGTCATTATAGTCTTTGATCTCTTGCACGTACTCTCAAAATGTACACCAAACTGAAAATGTTTTTCATAAATCACTCATCATCAAAACAGGAAATGACAAAGAGAATTCACAATATCTATCAAGAGTAACAAGTCAACATTCAAACATGTGAGAAAATGTTATGAAACTGGATGAAGCTGTATATATCTAGATAAGCTTGAGGTTAAGGTTGTGCCAAACACATCCACACAGGGAGCTAGAAGACCGTACAGCCTCCGTATCCAGGCGCATCTGAAAGTCAGCTGTTAGTTCAGGTGCTGGCAGTTAGTGGTTGGGTAATAGACGCAGGTAGTACAGCTTTCCTTATCTCAACTAAGGGCAGTTAAAAAAAAGATTCTTGTTTCTCATGACATTTTCAAAATTAATCGAGTGTGGAGTGAAGATAATTCTGTATCTAGTTTTAAGGTTACAAATTTGTCAGAAACAAATCAATAATTCACACAACCTCTTTTGGCCACGAGTCCAGCACCAAAACTGCAAGAACCTAGTATGAAGTAATGGTGAGCAAGGCAAGGTGCCTCTCGGCATTTGTGTTGAAAAAGTAATTTTGTGGTTAAAAAATACTTTATTAGATGAGCCAATGTCATGAGACACAAGAATGTGTATAAAAAGCCTAATAAAACATTGCACAAACTTTCTGCAAAATGTCAATATAAGCGAAAAACATAAAACCAACTATTTGAAAAACATTCTTTTGACAATGATCCACACACAACTGGTATCAATTTCAACCTGGGACAACACTGACTGAAAGTTTTATCTAAAGACAGACAACTGGGGAGTTACCTCCCTTTGAATACTAAGCCAAGAAAGAATAATTATGATGTCTAAGTAAGTGAGATACAAGATTTACTCCTGTGTGACTTAAGAAGAGCAGTACAGATCCTAAATGATTGTGAGACTAGATTACGTCATCTCACATTTTCTAAAGCCAAATTCAGGATAAAATTGGTCATTTACATCCAATAAATTCACAAATAATCCCTCTCATCCGGACTTACTTATCCAAGGACCGGGGTCATATTTGGAATATTGCTGTGGGTTCAGCATTAGACCAAATAATTCAGTGATTGATATTATCATCAATGACCCATGGTCTTGGGGTACAATGACCCACAGTTTAGGAAGATACTCAGTGTAAAGATTTTTTTTGCCATACGTTGTTAGGGACAAATTCTACCCTTACATCCTGATGGACTAATACAAAATACTATATCAGCTTATGCCTTAAAAGATGACTACAGGTACTGTGCTTTGGGAATAGCTACTGTGTATTAGATAATGTCAATACCATGGAACTATTTCTGCCAAGGCTTTGTTCTTGCTCCCAATATCGAACACAATTCTACAAACACTTGTCCAATCAAATTACATTATTGAGCAGGTGATATTCTATCCAAAGTTGTAGATGAAAAAGTAAATGAATTTTTTGGAGGGGTGGGGGTGGGGTATTTTGGGCAATATTCCAGCAAAATCAAAGAGGGGACACAAGAGATATATTCCACATATTGTACCATGTGAAACTGGCTGTTCAGCATGACAAAGTTTGTAATGAGTAAGATGGGAATAATGACAGCATTTCACAAATAAAACAATTTTTAAAAATGGTAGCAATACTATTGCGCAGATAAAATACACAGGAAAACCGGGGATGTCACTGTTGAGGCAAGTCAAAATGAGCATGGAATTTGAGTAATGAATGAAGCACAAGTGATGATAAAAATGAAACTGTCAAAGTAACTGATTTGACAGGAGAGCTCAAACAAAGCAAAGATTTGACAAAGGAGAAAAAGAGGAAAATATGCATATGACTGACTAGATGTATGAATATAGAAGCATATTGATGAGCATACCGTTGGATGCCGCTAGACATCTTCAGCTGCCATTCTGGCAGGCAGGACATTCTCTACTTAACATTCATTAGGATTATTTTGTTCTTCTTTCATCAGTGCAAATTAACTTATCAGTTTGCACCTTATCTATCACAGATAATGGCCTAAAGGAAAGCATCCATACAGGTGAAGTCTCCCTGAACACAAAGCCCTGACCTAAAACAACCCACACCCACAAAAACAACTCTCCCACTCTAAAATCCTTTCCTTAAAAACATTTAAGTTAATCTTCAATGTCATCGCTTGTGTTACAAAACTGGCAATGTCATCAATACCAATGGTTCTATTTCACCATCCTCATTTGTGGGCATGAGTACTAATTATTCTGATAAGAAACTGGAAATTCGTTATATACATTTGACATAGTTTCTAAAATTGTTTTCTGAAAAGTAATTTGTTTTTCTTTTGTGAACAAGAATCAGTTCCTTCACCCATATGAACCTTGGATGTTTCAGTTGCAGACATTCATGTGCAGGGACTTATCTAGACCTGGTCAGAGACCAGCGGCCATTATTTGACCAAATCTGAAGCAAATACCAGAACAAAATGTCCATATATCCCAATTAATGTCAATCTAGCTAAGAATCATGTTGTGGCTTTGCAGGTTTAATTACAGAAATCACTGATAAAACAGCCACTCTAGAGGAAAAGACTAGAGGATATTTTCACTGCAGTGTTGAAATAACTAAACATTTAGGAAAATAAGAGATTTTAGAATGCCTTGTTTTGAACAAACTACTGTTTCCCCAGGCTGAAGGGCCTTTAGTTTAGATAAATCCCTGCTTTGAGGTCACAACAGAGCGTAGAGATCATTGTCCTTGGTCTGAAGATGTGCTCTAAGCTAAAGGCAAGTTACTACACTCAAACAGGTAGGCATGTACTACTACAAAAGAGAAGAAAACATAACCAAAGTGTTACATACTGCCATGAACACTTGTCTACCATTGTCAATCATGGTGACAGGGGTGAGGTGGTGCTGAGACTGCTGAACAGTCTGCTACAAATAAACAAATACTCTACTGTAGATCCCACTTCCACTGTCATCCTACTCCACTTCATGTCCTAAAAACCCCACATTGATCCTTCCAACCCCCTCGTCATACCCTACACTGACACTTTTCCTTCCCCCATTTCTTTGTCATACCCTACACTGACACTTTTCCTTCCCCCTTTCTTTGTCATACCCACTACATGTTGATCCTCTCTCCTTAGCCCCACCCCTTGTCATTAGCACACACTGATCCTCTTCCTTAGCCCCCAATTTGTCATACACACACTGCCTCTTCCTTAGCCCCACCCCCTTTGTCATACACACACTGATCCTCTTCCTTAGTCATACACACCCCTCTTGTCCCATACACACACACACTGATCCTCTTCCCTTAGCCCCAACCCCCTTGTCATACACACACACACCAATCCTCTAGCTTAGCCCAACCCCCTTGTCATACACACACTGATCCTCTTCCTTAGCCCCACCCCCTTGTCATACACACACTGATCCTCTTCCTTAGCCCAACCCCTTGTCATACACACACTGATCATCTTCCTTAGCCCATACACACACCCCTTCCTTAGCCCCACCCCTGTCATACACACTGATCCTCTTCCTTAGCCCCGCCCCTTGTCATACACACACTGATCCTCTACCTTAGCCCCACCCCTTGTCATACACACACTGATCCTCTTCCTTAGCCCCACCCCCTTGTCATACACACACTGATCCTCTTCCTTAGCCCCACCCCCCTTGTCATACACACACTGATCCTCTTCCTTAGCCCCACCCCTTTGTCATACACACACTGATCATCTTCCTTAGCCCCACCCCTTGTCATACACACACTGATCATCTTCCTTAGTCCAACCTCCTTGTCATACACACACTGATCCTCTTCCTTAGCCCCACCCCTTGTCATACACACACTGATCCTCTTCCTTAGCCCACCCCCTTGTCATACACACACTGATCATCTTCCTTAGCCCCACCCCTTGTCATACACACACTGATCCTCTTCCTTAGCCCCACCCCTTGTCATACACACACCAATCCTCTACCTTAGCCCCACCCCCTTGTCATACACACACTGATCCTCTTCCTTAGCCCAACCCCCTTGTCATACACACACTGATCATCTTCCTTAGTCCAACCTCCCATGTCACACCCAGTACATGGATCACCATCGTTCCCCACACATAAGGATCCTGATCTACCTTCCCAGACAAGATGAATCACCAGGCAAGACACTATATTCCCACAGGGTTCTCAAACTCATTACAAGCAGAAGTCTCCATAAATCATTATATAATCAGATGTTAATGTTTTCAAAAAAATCAAAATCAAATCCTTAAAATTTACACAATCCATGAGATGACTATACTTGTAAGTGAACTTTGAATAACCTGCATATAGCGACTTTGCCCTCATACCCAAGTAGTTACAAATAGCTCAAACACAGGCTGAAAATACTGTTTCCATACTGATACTGACAAAGGTTTTCAAGATCATACTTTTTCATTTCTTTGTTCTCTCGAAATGCTTTTCAATTACTGACATTCACATGAAAACTAAACATAGCAAGTAATAATGAATGATATGAGACTAAAGCCTAGAAGGTGATATCAGACACGCCAAAACACATTTTTGCTATCCTCACAGGCAACAGTATTTCTTTGCCAAATGATCAAGTTCTGTGAACATTTCTGAGAAATCAACTTGTTATCTGCAGACTCTCCTCAGCTGAAAGTGGAATTATGAGTACAGCATGGTTGTTCATTGACCTGACCTTGTGACCCAGGTCAAGCTGACCTGGTTGCATTGACCTACCTGGCTGATGAGCTGAGGTTGTAGCTGCAGGGTCTGGGTGGCCTGGGTTACCATAGGAACACCAGTGGGTCGGGTGGGGGAATTAAGACCTGAAACAGAACACACATTACAATCGGAACCTGTGCTTCAAATTGAAAAGGTTTCGACAATAAAAACTCATATGAATACATATTTTTTGTATTTAACAGTCTAGACACAATGAAAACCTAATGGAATCATCAGTTTCATTTGCATTCAGGACAATATGAAAAGATTAAAGGAAGGTTTAAAAGAGAGAAAGTTTGAAATCAGACTTCTAATATTCACGTGGAAAATAATTTGTTTTGTTTCTTGTTTAATGCCACAGTAAACCATATCCCAGCTATATGATGGCTGTCTGTATACAATCAAGTCAGAACAGAAGCCCAGTGACTGATATCATGAACATCAATTTAGGCAACAGTGACAAGACTGACAACTAATTCAGCAACCACCAGATCCCAGTTGTCGCCTGATGTGATGAGCACTGGTTGCCAAAAAACCAATTCTAACCTGGCCCTCAAGTTTACGTACATAGTACTCGTGCCTATGGTCTTCTCATGACAAAGATGAATCAATATATATGCTCTTCTGAAGACTAGGAAATCATATCACTCATAAGATGACTTCCTGGAGTTAAAGTTATTAAAGACAGACACAAGTGGCGCATAACATTTATTGAGGTTTTCACAACTTCACTTTTTTACATACACAAACAATCTTTCATATTGTTACAGATTTGTCATCGTGCGAGTAAGTAAATATGGGTTTATGTCGTTTTAGTCAAATAAAAGCAATACTACAACAGGGGACATCAGAAATGGGTTTCAGACATTGCTACGACTGTATGCTTTAACCACCCCACTACATCCATGGCACGCCAGATTAAATTAAATTTTCATAAATTCGGGCGGCGCATAAGGTCATAACCATGACACTTTTGAAACTTACACTTTGGAAAGGCAATACCATTCATTTAAATTGGAAGCTGCTGTGTGTGACTTACCTGGCAAGGTAGCTGGTACGACAAGAGATGGCATACACAGCGGTTGTCGGAAGGGGTCTGTACGGTTGAACTGAGCCCCGCTCCTCTGCGCTGTGATCTGCTGGTTGAGTTGTTGTCCCACCTGTGGGGGTTGATATGACAGGTAGGTCCCAGACTGGAGGGAGTACTGAAGATACGGGATCTCCGTGCTCTGGTGGGAAGTTCCGCCTAGGTTCTGGGATGCCATCTGCAGGTACATACACGTTTAATATTACATGAACAAACATAGAGTCTTATGCTGGAGCATTAGATATACTATCTGTTTCAAAATGACACAACTGCATTGTCATCGTAACCATATAAAATCCTTAGAGGGCCTCAGTTTCAATTTTATGCTAAATGACCTTAAAGAAAGTTTGAGATTATATATCAGTTCACAATCAGACTGGGGGCACCATAATTAAAACTTTCTCTTGGAATATTGATTGATTAATTGTTGTTTAACGCTGCACTTAACTATATTCCAGCCATATGGCAGACAGTAAATACATGTAATCAAGTTTGGACCAGACAATCCAGTGATCAACAGCAGGAGCATCACAATTACATGTGTCAACCAAGTCAGCGAGTCTGACCACCCAATCCCGTTAGTCGCCTCTTACGACAAGCATGGGTTGCTGAAGGTTCTTTCTAAACCGGACCTTCACGGGTCATGGTCCTTCGAGCTCAGGGAACATAAACATAGAGGGTAAACCAACCCATGTCCCCCTGGCATCTTCATGGGTCTCTCTAGGAATATAATCCAGACAATCTGCAACTGAGTACGTTCAACTGTATGCTAATGCAAAACTGGAACATCAGGGTGGGTGTCACATACTGCAGACACTTCATCACTCAAATTCTCTAATAGTAACTTGGTCAAGATTTCCAAACCTTGCCAAAACACATTTTCAAAAGGGCCTTTTCCCAGTTATAGCACACCCCACAGATATAATAACTTCTCTCAATACAGGACTACAGAACTAAGAAATCTAATATATAAAAAAAGAACAGAGTAGAATTGTGAAAGTCACGTACCTGAGAATGTAAAGCGTTTATCTGGTTGTTGAATGTGACTGTGAAGTTGCCGTTGGATGACGGCACCACATTTGTCATCATACTGTTGCTGTTCTGGTTCATGTCGTACACAGACGTTCTCTGTCGTCGACAGATCTCCATTGCCTGAACACTTTGTTTTGTACTGAAATATAGAGTTGTCTCCCTTAGAAGATCCATGAAAACTATTCTATATTAAAAGATCAACAATATACCAGCAATATCACAACGGGTGACACCAGAAACGGGCTTCGTGAGTGAGTGAGTGAGTGAGTTTACTTTTACGCCACACTCAGCTATATTTCAGCTATATAGCGGCAGTTTGTAAATAATCGAGTCTGGACCACACAATCCATGATCGACAGCATGATCATCAATCTGCGCAATTGGGAACCGATGACATGTGTCAACCAAGTCAGCGAGCCTGACCACCTGATCCTGTTAGTCTCTTACGACAAGCATGGGTTACTGAAGATCAATTCTAACCCGGATCTTCATGAGTTCACACACTGTACCCATGTGTTAAATCGAACTTGGGTATTCGGCGTGATGAGAAAACACTTTAACCACTAGACTACCCCTCTGAGAATAAGACTTCTTGGTGATCACAGATCTGAAGAGTATTCAATCTTATCCCCAGCTATAACAAAATAGAACATACATGTTGGTGTGAGCATAATCCACCAGATGCCCCATGCCTATAAAGTGATGATTTAACGCCTAGCCCGGCGTGATGCGTCGTTCTTGGTCCAAGGTCAACATTCGCTTGAGAAGGTCAATGAATTCACGGCGGTCCACTTTCTCCGCCAGGAGTTCACTTCCTTCCAAGTCTGTTGGAACGTTGATCTGAAACACAAAAATGCACTTAACTATGCACAATTTATTTCATATTACGTGTGTCTTTGCCTTTTCACAAAAAGATTTGTTACTTAAATACAATTATAAACTTTGACAAATATGTGCCCAAAAGAGCCTAAATTTGGCTTTTATCATCAATTTAAGCATTATATAGAGGATATAATATGAGTGCCCATGTCATACTATGTTAACGACACGAGTGCCTAAATGTTGGTATTACCCGAGTGAGAGCGAGGGATATACCGATATTTAGGCATGAGTGTTGTAAACATAGTACGGTATGGGCACGAATATAATATTCAGTTTATTACCGAAGTCGTCAATTTGAGAAAAATAACCCAATCTACTTTCAAACATAGGGTGGCTACCCGCCGTCGCCGCATGTAGGACGCAATGTCACAGAAGAAACGTGATGTCATAGCATTGTTCATGATGTCACGTCACCATGACAAAGTGCTATTTTGCCCTAGGGCATCGTATGAAAAATATGAACCCCGATATGTTCGCCCTCGTAGGTAATAACATATGATATTTTGATAAGTTGATCTGACTAGACGTAACAGAATTTAACTAGAATCAGGCTTTGTACTAGTGGATAAGTCACAGACTATTGACAGGATCTGTCTTAAAATTAAATAAAAACAATGAATATGTGTAAGTTGAAAAACAAACTCTGCGTTACTTTTTTCACAATTCTTTTTAGAGCATGACGTCAATATGGAAAATCACATGCTCTACTTGTGGACCCAACCCTCGTCTCAACCCACCTACTATCCCGAAGATTTCACTACCCACCTTATCAAATCTCAATAATTTCATATGCAATATATAATTCAGCTTGCAAGAATATAGGAAAATCAGCTTTTAGTTGCAAAAGGAAGGACTTTTCAAGCCAGCATATCTCTACAAGCGGGCTAACTACAAGAGATGCAGGTTGCTAGACAAGGTGTGAAAGTGTGTCAAGTGTGGAGTGTGCGAAAGAAAAGCAAAAGCTATTTACTCTCATTCCCACCTGCCCAATGTCGTCCAGGCAATTGAAGATGTACTTCCTCGCCTCTTTGGACTTGATTTTGGTTTCTGCTTCATGTTCCTCAGGGGACTGAAACAGAAACACACTGACGTCATCAAATTCAACCCAAAGTGCACATGTGACGCAAGTCTTATCTTATCTAACTTTGTTACAAATATATGTCAAATCTACACAGAAACATATCAGTGTCATCAAACACAGCTCAGCATGAAACACAACTCTCAGCTAGTTTAACATTGCTTCAAACACAGATCAATCGAAACTGAAACAATGTCAGTGTTTAAAACTAAAAGGGCAGTCAAAATCCTTTCCAAACTGGCTCTTGCTAATGTAATAGTCTTGAAGACTTGTATTTCAATGAAACCATGAAGATGACAACGAGGAAGAGGTTTTAGTGTTCAGCGGTAGGGCATTATAGAGAACACAGTGTAGAGATTAGATTGGTAAACACCATTAGAAAATCCTATGACTGAGCAAAATGATTTTCTACCCAATTTGCCTGCCACTTTCAGTTAGGTTTGAATCCTTGATAAATCCCTGTAAATGGTGACTGTTTGAAATAATTTCTGTCCTAAAACATAAATTGAACATTGTAATCGTACACACCATTTATTTTATTTTATTGTACCGAATCCAAGCAGTGTTCCGTGAGAGCCAACTGCATTTCAGATATACTTCATCTTTAAAATACCAATTACGAAAATAGAAGTGTTGGGGAATATTAATCTTAACCAACGTGAAACATTGAGGAATGGACATGGATACACTTGATACGTTCTAGCACACTGACCTTCAACCTCCAGAATGGGTAACTACTATCAGTATTGTCTCGCACAAAGAAGCGCGTCGTCTTAGTGGCCGAGCTAAGCATGTGTTCAGCAGGTAGTCCTTGGGTTTGGGAAACATAACGAATCTGAAACAGAACAAAAGTTGTCATAGTAAATAGTACATAGTAAGATCACTTGACACGCATCCTTGACAACACTAAGCAGGGATTGCTGTTAAGTCTAGACACCCAGGAACTTCACACTTCTAGTACCCAGGGTTCGTAGCTAGTCAGGTTTGAACCAGACACAGATGTTCATCATGTTTCACTTTTCTGCCAGTTCTATTCGGTTCTAATTTTGTAGTAAAGCATTGAGAACTGGCTCAAATTATAGCCCTCAAATGCTAGTCAATAAGGTCCTTCAATGGAATTATACTTGTCCAGTACACTCAATCTCAGGCTACCAGACTAACATAAACCTATAAGACAGAATGTACACGATCCGTTCCGCCAAACTGAGATCAGTGTTGGAAACTAAGGTGGGTTCAGGGACCTTGGAGTTGAGTTGAGTTTTACACCGCACTCAGCAATATTCCAGCTATATGGCGGCAGGGACCTCGGAAGTTGCTCCTAAGACATGTGAATCAAGGGATCCCTATGTCTCTAATATCAGTGAGTGAGTGAATTTAGCTTTACGCAGCTTTTAGCAGTATTCCAGCAATATCATGGCGGGGAACACTAGAAATGGGCTTCACACATTGTGCCCATGTGGGGAATCGAACCCAGGTCTACGGTGTGATGAGCGAACACTTTAACCACTAGGCTACCCCACCACCCCCTCTAATATCAGTGACATGACAAGGGGACATGATTTGTAAATGTTACAGTGTGAACACTGTAACATGATAAGTGAGTGGCAGTTTGTCTCCATGGAGAGGACCATTTCATCTTTACATCGATGCATTATTATACAAATTCTGGAACAATTCTCTTACAAACGTTCATCTTCTCGAAAGGTTACACATTGTTACTATGTACAGTGAATTTCAGTGCTTTGTTTAATATTGTACACATGATGTTTGTGAATACACAAGTTTCAATTCGGCAGAATAATAAAGAGTCATATGTACATTTCAGATGAACCTTTATCTTCAAATGTTATCTGTTACATTCAGACTGTATTGGATTTACATTATTTAGTGTTGGTGGAACTTGGAAAACATTGATGATAAACCTGTACAATTGTGTTAAGAAAAGGTACTCACTTGGTCATATTCTGACGACCCTGGATAGAGGGGCCAGCCCAAGAACAGCTCTGCTATGACACATCCTAGGGACCACATGTCAATAGCCTCACAGAACGGCAAGCCCAGCAATATCTCTGGCGCCCTGGAACAAAGTACACCATGTTACAACACTGACAAGATTCTGAATAGATTCACATCAAATAGAAACAATATTAGAAATATTTCCATGCAAGGTACACAAAAGGACCAAATCTGGACCACAGACAAAAAAGCAATCTCAGTTCTCAGAAGAAAATTATTATCATTTTTTAAAACCAATTTCTGACAGTTTTAAAGTCTATGGAGAAGGAGGTGCCTCTTTCCACATGCTGCTCCACAAAATGATCATAAAGCAACAATCATCCTAAGTTGATGCTTCTGGTAAAAGTGTTACGTTCACCTTTAGCAGTAAGATCGAGAATCAAACCCAGAACAGGTACATACCAAAAGAATGTACTATCCACAAGGCTAACCATTCCATTGAAAAATTCAGAACACACATTCCTTATACTGAGCTCTTCTTCCAATGCCATATAGCTGGTATATTGCTGAGTGCTGCATAAAACTAAACTCACTCATACTTCCAATGGTAACATTATGGTTTCCTACACCTTACTACTCAGGTCACAATGACATTCAACCTAATCTACTGCAGGTACACACCACCAGGACACTCATCACATCCTAATCCATATGCTCATGCTTTCTGAAGATACTTCTTCTTCCCTGAGTCTATCTGTAACTGGCTGATAAATAATTAACCGACTCCTCTTGTAGAAGGGACATTGATTCATACTGTTGAGCAAGTTACTAGCAAGGAGCTGAGGGTCTGAACATGTGAGTCACATATATTTCTGAGTAAGACGAATACACAGGATTCCTGTGTCGGTGAAAATAGAACCAGGGTCAGTGAAACCCTGGTTCATAATTTGTGGAACCAAGGTGATCCCATGTTAGCAAGTGTTTGGGAAGGACAATGTTTATTACAGTCCCACTCTTGCAACATTCTCCCTTGACGACATGTGCCGATAAAATAACCAAATCGGATTCATAAAAAAAGTGATTGATGTTATGAGCATCAACCGATGCCATTAGGGTACAGTGACATGCATACAACCATGTCTAGCAACTAAGCCACCTGATACATGCAAGTTCCCGGAACTAATTTTAACCCTAAATACCTCTTTGCCTTCCCCACTCAGCCTGTTTAACATAAAATAAACAACATTAACACAGCTCCACACATCCAGTGCTTGTCTATTTTTGTATTTCCTCTATAGAAGGCTTGAACACAAGACAAGGCTTCTTATAGAGGAAACTCAGTCTGTCTTGCAGTCTGTGTCCGTCATTTTGGACTATACTCTTGAAAATCTATTTGTAAATGTTACCTCATAATCGTGATACGTATCATAATTCTCCTCTCATTACAGCCTATTCACAAGGGTTCTCGTAAACTAATAACAGTTCTTATCTTAACGCTAAATTCTCTTGAAGCAGATAAAGTTCAGACAAGTCGTGTAATGAACATCAAGGTTCTGGCACAGACCGCTGTCATGTAGCAACCGGCTCCGTGTACCAACAACAGGATGTATTCCAAGATGATGCTTCATTTTCCACATGGACTATGGAGAAGTAATGCCAGAGCTGTGAGCCAAAGTATTTTTACTACTAGTGCTTCTGGTATCTCCACTGTAGCAGTAACAAGGGCCTCTAACTACCAGGAACAATGTATAACAATCTGCAAGTTCATCTACTAGTTCAAACCTGAGTCAAGTAAAACTTCGTCCAGTCCCAAGCTCAGTCAATACAATCAACATCAAAATGCTAAATATGACTGAAAATGATGCTGACAGCCTCTCAGACAGGTACAGACTGAAGTCTCAATATGTCTTGGCACGCACAGGAATTGTCAGTGTTGTGAGCCAGTGTAGTTTTACAACCAAGTGCATGAGGTTTTGTCGGTGTTGCATAGAGAAAATGGCAGTGACAGGATGATCACCAGGTGGAGTAACCACCTGGAACAACGCAGGACATACTGTCAGTCTGCAATCAATACCATTCTATTATATACAATGTTAGCTTTATACAGAGATTGATATGTGCACTGGCACACGTACCCTGTAAGTGTAGACAATGAATCACTATGATCTCAGTGTGTAGGAAAGTCATAAGGTTATAGGCCCTGATCACCGGCTCACCCCTAGCAGTATACCAAGTGTTATAGACAATCTGCCTCCATGTCAGTTGTCCATAACACACGTCTTGATGCTTTTATCTGTCCACTCTTTGACACTGCCTATACATATACAGTAGTCAATTACTGTCAGATTACAATACATCATAATACAATGATGGACAAATAAGTCAACTTGCAAGGCCAGAATATGTGACACTGACTTCCATTGTTCTTTAGGCAACACAACCACAGATGCACTTACTTACGTAATATATGCACATATGTACAGTGTATAACTATATTTCTATTGATCTTGAACCTATACACAAATTTCACAGAATTTTTTGCTATACATGTATTTTATGTCATGACATGTCAATAAAGAGGAAAAATGGGCAAGTTAGAAACTGGATATTAAGAGTCTGCCAATATGCCTTTATTCATTGAGCGAGACCAGAGTAATATGAGAGCTCCCTGGGATTGATCTGGTGTATCAACAATTACATCAGCTGGCAATAAACTCTGTATAAACTTATTTCTGTCTGGGCAAAATATTGGGATGAACCATAAATTTGTAGTCCTGGCCAGGGTTTATTCAAAGGCCCATCGTTTTGGTCAATTTAACATAGTGTAATAATAGACAGGGGGGACCTCCGATGTCTAGACCCAGAATTACCATGTGCTTAGTTCTATTTCACTGGTATTTTCACAAAGCCTATGGAATAGTAACTTCAAGTAATGAACACACTACCATTAAATCAGAGCTGCCATGACTATCACCACAGGGTTATCAAAGGAAGATTGAACATAATTACCTATCAGCTGATCACACTTCATACTAGTAATAGTCACAGCTATAATAATTGGATTAATGCTTAGTCTCTCAATATATGGAATTTTGACAGAAGAAAGCGATACCATTTAAATTCAAAACGAACCCCATTGAGATGGGAGATACAGAACCGGTGCAAAATCTAGACTTGCTTAATTAATGGCTACTGCACTATAGAAACTGGGCAGAGTGGTAATCTATATGGCATAAGGACTGTGAGACTTAATATATTAATGTATGCTTTTGAACATAAACTGTCATGCATCACATGGGAATCACTACTAAAGCTGCATGGCGGCTAAAATCACATATTTCTTAAGATTTGAAGCTGAGCAGAGAAGGAAGTTTTTTAGACAACACTATCAATTTGTCAGCAAGTCAATAAATAACCGCTGTATCATATTTAGGTGAACAGTATATCCATCACAGATAACAAATCAGTCAATTGAACATGCTCAAATTCTCTGCATACAACCAGCTTCATAATTAGATTTTCCCAGTGTTCTTGTCCCCGAAGAGAGGATCCTCTTAAGGATAAAATAATTGTTGAATTTCAATTAATTTATTAAAATCATATTGTTGTCACTATGAATTATCTTGCCAGATTATTCATGGTATATATCTTTGTTTATAGTTGTTAATGAAAACAAATAGGTCCTTGTCATAGACGGAATGACAATTTTCATAAAATTTTAGGGTTAATCGAAATTCAAATACTATTGCTGCACACATCAAGATGCCCCTAAATCACTGTATCAACTGTATTGGAATTTCTGTTTTTGTAAAAAACAAGTTCAGGGGAACTGGTTTCCCATTTTAAAAAAATGTTCAATTTTCTACTGGTTTTAGTCATTGACAATTTGCAACTCAACTGAACCACTGAACACTGATTCAGAATTACTGAGCTCAAATGCTACAAGTCAATGAGGACTACTATAATGGGATTTTAACCTGACCTCAGCACAAAGATTAGTCCTGGGATAACAGGCTAGCATCATTCTGAGAAGGATGATAAACAGTTCATAGCTCAACATATTTGGTTCCAACATTAAACAGTGTCCTTCAAAACATAATTTTTCAAGGTTTCAATGAGTATCATGGTTTGATTATGTATTCAGTTCTACTTAAGTTTTCAAAGACAGCAGGATTACCCATATTTTTCTTTTGGAGGACCAATGACAAGTCCATCAGTCTTAAGATGGTGAAAATCTACTTAGCTTTCTCCCCAAATCAGGTTATTTTAACGTACAACAGCATTGGTTGCAGCTTGGAGGTGCACAGTGGTGACTAACCCTTACACTTTCAAGGAAATATATCGAAACAAAAGCTGTCATTTCCTCCTGCATTTCCCTAAGAAATGTGTAGAAAGTTTACATTTTGGGGAACACAAATTTCTCCCAATGTCAAGACCATTTCCCTTTGTTAAAACTTCCCAGACCATAGGCTGTACAGTTCATCAGGTGTGTTCAAAATCGTTTACTTCCTCCACAAGACGAAATCCTGACCCCTCACACAGTGCATATCAACCCGACACCATAGTTCCACAATTACGACTTCGCTGTGACACCATTTCCCTGCCAGGCAACTCATACCAACATGTACCAATGATTATGTAACACAACAATTAAGCTATTGTACTCACAGAAACTACTTATGTAATACGACACTTAAGTATTCTACTCACGGAAATTAAACACTAAAATCTTACAACTACCATCAAATGTACTATGCCAGTAAACAATTTCCAGTAAGAGATCTGACCATCTTATTGGGTTAGAACGAGGTTACCTGCCCAGAGCTACGGACAACAAACAAGCGTGTTATCAGATGCTGATATGAGAAGATAGGGAGAGAACTACAGTCCTGCAAGCTACCGCTGTTGTTTACATCTTCTTGGCTCTCATCTAGGCAGGGAGGCCAGGCCGGTCTACCAAATATGGCTTCCCTGTCAGTATGCTACGGCCAGACAACATGTTTACCTTGCCTGTTACAAAACAGCAGCGGCAACTTATAGTGGAGGAAATAATGTCAGTCATGGGTCGATGTGTTCTTGACTGTGGCCAATTTTGTCAGGTATGAAGACATGATCGCAGCA